TGTCATCCTGGGGAGAGGAGCAGTAAGAGTTGGGGTATGCCCACACCCTGCCAGCTGGGCCCAGAACACAGGCACAGGCTGGGGCCCTTTCCCCAGCCATGCCTGCATAGAATTGTGCTCCTGAGGGCATGGGGACAGCATAACAAGGTCCAGGGAGCCGGGGGCAGGCATTGCTCACCGTGCTGAGGAAGGGCGCAGCGGGGTCATGGTGATATGTGTCCTTGTCCCCCAGCACAAGGTAGTGCGCAGCGTTGATAATGACGCGCTTCAGGTTGGTAAGGGAGTGGAGCAGCCTGGGGCACAGGCAGAGTGAGCCACCCAGGGCCATTCAGCCACCCAACACCCCCCACCTCTCACCAGCAGAGGAGCCCCAAAAGACCCCTACACCCAGCCACACTCACAGCCCTGAGCCCACCAGCCCCTCCCTGACAGGCTCTGAGGGTGCTCCAGCCCCCACACACACCGGACTCCGTAGTCCACAGCTACAGCCTCCTTGGCGGTGCCAGTGATGGCGTCGTGGTGCTGGAAGAGGCCCAGGTTGCGTCGGGCGTTGCTCAGCAGGGCGTAGTCGGAGAGCGGGTACCTGCCGTCAGCACTGGCATGGCGGGCGTGGGCGAGTGCCAGGCTGTACAGGATCTCTGCCCCCCTGCACAGGGACAGGGTCACAGAGGATCTCTGTCCCTGTGCCCCAGTGCTGCGGGGGCTGGCCTGGACGTGCCGGCGGGGGCACACACTCCCCTGGGACTGGGCAAGGGTTTGGCACTGCCTGGGCCACCCCAGCACATTGGTGGCTGGTGCAGACCTGGGGGCTGCTGGAGCTCCCAGATGCTGCCTAATCATCCCTCACCCACACCCTGCACACCCCCCATGCTCCACAGCCCAGTCTGCTGCCCCTCACCGGAGGTGGGCCTCTAGCACCCGGTCCAGGCTCTTGTAGAACGGCCGGGAGGTGTAGTATCCCGTCCAGTAGTGGTCCTCCCGGTCAGCATAGGAGAAGAAATCCCCAGTCAGCACTGGGAACCCAGGCGGCCTCATCCCCGGCACAATGCCCATCTTCTTATACAGGGCATCAAAGTAGTCAGAGAGCGTCCCAAACTGCGCCTGCAGGACAGCACATGTGGCCCTGAGCCAGGGCTCCCACAGTGGGGGCTCCCATCAACTCTCCCAGCACTGCCCACCCTCTGGCTACACTCTGTGGTGGCCTCCTGGTGCCCCCAGCCCCACTGAAGATCCTTGCACGTACCTGGACGTGGAGGTCAGGCCGGGAATTGAGGAAGTCGAAGATGCGCTGGTAGTTGAGGAACTGGGCGTCCCACTCCTGTGGCTTGTCGTATCGGAAGTCATCTCCCAGGGGCACCAGGAGCACCTTGCTGCGGTACAGCTTGGACTTCTTGCGGTACTGGTCCAGCAGCAGCTGGGCTCTGCATGGGGGCCGAGGCATGAGACTGGCCCTGGATAGGCCACCGGGCTGGGAGCCATGTGCCCCTGCCACACTCACCGCTCCGCCACGTTGGCATCGGTGATGGCACGGGGAGGAACCTTCCAGGGGCAGTTGATTCGGCCTCCAGGCAGGCGCTTGAAGTCAAACTGGCAGCAGATCTTGGGGTCTGGCCCACAGGTGTGGGGCACATCGTAGCTGTAGAAGGGCATCATGTGGCAGAAGATGTCAGTGCTGGTGTCTGGATCTGTAGGACCAAGGACAGGTGAGCACCAGCAATGGCTCTCCCTTGCCTGTCCCCGAGCAGGGGGTTCCAAGGACAGCTGTTGGACAGAGCAGAGTTGGAGCCCAGAGGACACAGCAGCCTCCCTCAGCGTGCTGGGCACAGAGGCAGATGGGGAGTCACCCTAGGGCTGTCGCATGGGGCAGAGCCATCGCTTCCTGGCGCTCAGCTCATCTGCACAGTAAAGTGGCTGGTAGCCATTCCCTGCTGCCACTTGCCCTACAGGGCCCCTTCTGCCGTCCCCTCCTGGCAGCCTCTCACCCCACGTCTGTCTCCACATAAACTCCAGGTTCTGGGTGGCAGCAAAGTGCTTCTTGATGGCATAGTGCACACGCTGGATGAGCATGGCCGTCAGGTTGGAGCGCTTCAGCAGGTAAGGCATGGTGGAGCTGTACCCAAAGGGGTCCACGGCCCAGCCCGACCGCGGTGTCACACCTGGAGGCACAGAGACCTGTCAGCCTGTGCTGAGCCAGCATCACCTCCTGTGAGGAGGGTCCTGCCAGGGCCAGGGTGCCAGTCAGCATTGTGCTCCTCCTGCTCAGCACCCACTCTGCTCTCACCAATGTTCTTCTCTAGCCACTGGTGCCCCTCGATCAGCTGGTCAATCATGGCGAAGTAGTGGGAATTGGCCTCGTCGGGCATCACCCAGCCACCTGTCACCATCTCCAGCTGCCCATTGCCCACCAGCCTGTGAGGGGGACACCCGAGATGTGACCAGAGTCCCGCGTGAGCCACATGCCCATGGCAGAGATTCCCTGCCTTTAGCCACCTGGGGCCCACCCACAGCCCCCACAGCCACTGCTGCCATTCCTCACTACCCATGCTGACTTCACAGAGAGACACATCCCTCCACAGCTCAGTGCCAGCCAAGCCCCCTGCCAGAGCGCATTCCCACATAGGACAACACCCTCTGCTATGTCCTCCATCCCTAGCTCTCTCAGGGCAGGAGGCTGACAAGGGGGCCCTGTCCCACTATACAGTCCTGCCCTCCAAGTCTCCCACAACTCCAAGGGTGCCCTGGGCCTTGCACTCAAGTTTCTCAGCCCAATGAGCACAGGCAGAGGCACAGGGTGAGACCTGCCTCCCCCAGCCCTCAGTCCTCACTGCAGAGACCCCGGTGCTGGCAGCACCCAGCTCTCACCCCTCACTGCAGTGGTTCTGACATCTGGTGGCACTGGGAGGCTGCTGGTAGTGCCAGGGCACCCCATGGTGAGCAGTGCAGGGCCCACGGTTGCTGCACTGCAGTCAGGGCAGCCTTCCTGTCCCCAGGGCTCTTTCCTGCCCTACCTGCGCACTGCAGCCCGCTTCTGGGCACTGATGTTGTCCCACCACTTGGAAAAGAAGGAGATCTCGGACCAGATGAAGCGCCGGCGCGGGTCCTCCTGCATCTTCAGCACCATGCTGTTGAGGATGTGCTGCGTTTGGTCATAGTAGTACTTGTCGAAGGTCTTGATCCAGCCTAGCAGCACAGCTGGGGGTCACTGTGGGGGCCCAGCCCTTCCCTGCCAGCACTATGCGGCAGCAGGGGCTGGGCCAGCCCTTCCCCTCCTCTGCTGCTCACCTGGGTCATTGTGGGAGTGCGGCACCACAAACACCTGCAGAGGTTCCATGTCCCACTCGTTGGGCTCATAGGTGATGTCGAAGCCCTGCTTCCAGACACCGCCATCCTGGTTGTCAAAGGGCAGCAGAGAGTACACGGCCAGCATCTGTGGGTGGGAGGCAGGGCTGAAAGATCCCCAAAAAAGTAGAGCCAGGACCCCACAGATGCCCAGGTATGGCCCCCTTGTGCTAGCAGAGCCACCAGCCCCTCACCTGCAGGTCTGGGCTCTGTCCCTTGCCCCCCAGGGCGAACTGGCAGTCCTGTGGGGACACGGAGAGGAAACTTGGGCGACTCTCAGGGGGCAGCACCCAGGAGCCATTTGGGGGGTGATGGGGCAATGCGGGCTGCCCCTCTGCGTGGGCCGTCAGCTCCAGCACCGAGTCCTTGATGTGGCTGATGATCTCATGGTTCTCCTCCAGCAGCTGCTCCAGCTGCTCGATGCGGTTCTGTAGCACTGAGATCTGGCTCTGGGGGGACAGAGGCCACGGTGAGAGCCAGGAGGTCATCCAGAGCTATGGGGAGCCAGCCTTGGCCCTGGCAGCCGAATGGTGGGAGGCCAGGGCTGGCTCCCCATGAATTTCCCTGGCTGAATGTCCCTGTTTGTCATCCCATGGCCCCTCTCACCCACCCCAACCCCCTCAAACTCACCCTGGGGAAGTTGCCCCCACTCTGGTGTCGTGCAGGGTCGTGCTGTACCCGGTCCAGCATCAAGTAGAGGGAGAAGACGGCCACGCAGAAGATGGCAGCTCCACACACTGTCACCTGCTTCTTCAGCTTCATCACGAAGGGGTGGAGGGACTCACCTGCGCCGGGATACGGGGAGGGGGGCACACGTCGGACAGCGCAACCCCCCACCGCGGCCTCCCGCCTCCTTCTCCAAGCGCCCTCCCCGCGTCCTACTTGGCTTAATCCGGTGCTGAGTATTTATAGCTGCGGATGGGGCTGGGGAAGGGGCCAGGGCCGGGACAGGCCGCGCGGCCCCGCCGAGCCGGGCAGCGCCCGGGGCCGCCGCGCTGCAGCCCCGCGGGGCCGGGCCGGGCCGGGCCGGGGAGGGACCGGGGAAGGCCAGGCCGGCGCCGGCGGGGACACCGCGGGCGCTCCGCTCTTACCCCGGGCGGCTCCGCGGCCCGACCCCGCTCCTCACATCGCCCGCCCGGGCCCGCCGGGATGGGCCAGGCCAGGCCAGGCCCCGCCCGCCGCTCCGCCCCCGAGCGCGGCCCCGGGGGAGGCGGTACCGGCGCGGGCGGGCCGGGCCGGGCACCCCGCGGAGCGCCGGGGTCGGCCCGGCCGGGACCCACCCACAAGCTGGCCGCCCTCCCAGCCGCGGGGCCGAGCTGAGATGCCGCTGCCTCATCCCTGTACCCTGTCCGAGTGCCCTGTCCCATTCCACCACCCCACTGTGCCCTGTCCCAGTGACCCGTCCCAGTACTCCCCCATCCCAGTGCCCTGTCCAAGTGCACCCTGTCCTGGTGCCCCACCCTGGTACTTCATTCTGGTGCTCTATCTCGGTGCACTCTGTCCCGGTGTGCCCTGTCCTGGTATCCCGTCCTGGTGCATCATTACGGTGCTCCATCCCAGTGTCTCATCTCTCAGTGCCCCATCCCAGTGCAGTACAGACCCACATCCCCTCACAGACTCCAGACACGCAGCTGCAGAGCTCCTGTGTTTATTGAGCAGGATGAAGCCGGGCAGGAGCTGCGTGTGCTGTGACCTCCACCCAGGGCACGCGGGAGCCTCTGGAAAAGGAAAGGGGCACAGGCACCCACAGCTGCACCACAGCACATGCTGTCCAGGCAGGGTTCTGCTGTGCCCCCAGGCACTGCCATGGGATGGATCCAGGGGCTCTGTCACTGCCCAAGGGAGGGACACTGCTGCGGGATTGATCCAGGGCCCCTGGTGCCCCCATCAACGGTGCCTCTTGCGGATGGCAATGAGGTCCTGGTGGATGGTGCTGAAGCTGGGCCGCTTGTGGGGGTCATACTCCCAGCAGCGCTGCATCAGCTGGTACACCTCCTCAGGGCACTGCTCAGGGCGGTCCAGCCGCACACCTGAGGTAACAGGGATGGGAACATGGCAGCCTGGACCACTAGTCCCTCACCCCCCACAGCCCCATCTAGCCCTCCCATGGGCACAGCTCTACAGTGGATCTGCTGTGCTGGACCCACAGCTCACAGTGGCCCTTGGGAGCCAGCCTTGGCTGTGTCCCCTACCCTGCTCCACTGCCTCCCGTGTCTGCTGGTTGCTGAGGTTGGCATAGGGGATGGCGCCCAGGCTGAAGGCTTCCCACAACAGGATCCCAAAGCTCCAGACATCGCTCTCCGAGCTGTATCGGCCTGGGGACATGGAGCAGGATGAATGGTGGCAGCTGTCACCACTGACTGGTTGTGCCTTCACTCCTGAGGGCTGGGGTACTTTGGATCTCTGCCTCCCTCCTCAGGATCAGGTGCGTGGGAGTGGGACAGTGCTGGACTCCTGGCTCCCAGCTGAGCTGTGGGGTGCCAGGCTGTGCCCAGCACCATCCCATACCATAATTGAGTGCTTCAGGGGCCGTCCACTTGACAGGGATCTGCTTCATCCCCCCTGTGGAGGCATAGATGCCATCCTCCTCCTCCCGTGACATCCCAAAATCACTGATCTTCAGGGTGTTCCTCTCCGTCACCAGGCAGTTGCGAGCAGCCAGGTCCCTGTGGCGGCCCCGAGCCATCAGCCGTGCACCCGGCTGTTCCCGGGGCTCCAGGACAGTGAGGGTTCCAGGGCTCTCCCTGCCTTGCCAGGGCCCACCTGTGGATGCAGTGCTTGCTCTCCAGGTACTCCATGCCAGCAGCAGCATTCTCTGTCATCCTGACCAGCTCCTTCACCCGGAGGTGGGGCCCTTCGCTGCGCAGGAAGCTCAGGAAGTCCCCCCCTGCACCCGGATTATGGAGCTGGTGGGTGCCTGGGCACACCCATTTGTGCTGGGGGGCTGTGGGTCAGAGCCACTCACCCTGCACCAGCTCCATGACAATGTAAATGGGCTGTTTCTGTGTGCAGACACCAATGAGCCGCACGATGTTCGGGTGCCTGTACTGCTTGAGGATCCTGCGGGGACAAGGATGAGCACCACAATTGTGTGGGAGCCCAGCTGCCTCAGGCACAGGCCACCCAGTACCAACTCCAGGGTGCTCTACCGAGCTGGCTGAGGGACACAGCCCTCAGCACATTCCCCGCTGCAGGCCCAGCGGGGTTAAATAGCCCCAGGGGTGGATAGACAGGCAGAGACAAGCACACTGGCCCAGACCTGGCTTCCTGAAGGAACTTGGCCTTGAGCTCAGGCGGGAGGTTTTCCCGGCAGGATTTCACAGCCACAGCGGTGTTGTCAGCACGCAGGCGGCCACTGAACACCTCCCCAAAGTTACCCTGCCGAGACACAGGTACACCGGCTCAGCTCACCATGTGGCCCAAGGAAAACCCTGTTCTTCTGTAGACCCCTGTGGGGACAGCTGGGCCCTCCCCTACACCCCACAGCACCTTGACTCACCCGGCCAATGCGCTCCCCCAGCAACACATCTTCGTGGTTGAGCACCCATTTGTCCTGCAGCAAGCAACACTGGTGACCTGTCCCCCAACCCACATCTCCCTGCAGCCCCCTCTCAGACAGCCCCAGAGGGGATCCCCAGACCTCAGGGTCTGTCCCCCCAGGCCTTAGTCCCCCCATCTAGCTGGAGAAGCATGCCTGGGGCTCCCAGCCAAGCCCTGGGAAGACGAAGGGGTCGGGCAGGGCTGCCCCTGCTCAGGGGGCCAGTCCCCCTTCCTGCTGCCTGTGTCACCTTGGGTACAGCCCTGGCCAGGACGATGCCACTCTTGCGGGTGATGGGCTGCTGGCTCTGCAGGAGGTGTTGGATGAGCAGCGGGATGGTGGGGAAACTGTCCCCCTCCAGTCGGAACATGTTCTGCAGGAAGGGCAGCTGAGGGGTTGTGCCCAGCAGGGACCCCTGCCTGCTCATGTGGGGTTGCCCTGGCCTTCCCCCCTGCCCATGATCACTCACATCGGCAGCCTGGATGATGAAATGCCGGGGCTGCCCGTCCCACAGCACGCTGAGCACATACTCCTGCTTGCCCTGGCTCTCCCGCACCAGGAAGTCCCCACTGCAGATCAGCAGCTCCTGCACCTCCGAGCGTGGGATGGCCCCATGATACCAGACCTGCTGGCACAGCGGCTTCTGCACCTCCGGGATCAGGGGCATGGGGGGGGGCAGCTGGAAAGAAACAGGGTGAGCCCAGCCATGTCCATCCCTGAGTCGTGCCAGAGGTTGGCAGCAGTGGTGCCCGGAAGCTGTGCCCAGGGTAGAGCTGGACGAGAGTCTGGAAGGGCTGGAACAGGGAGGGGAGGGGGCTGTGAGGCCAGAGGGGAGGGGGGGCAGAAGGGCCAGCTGGGTGGAGAGCAGGGTGACTGGAGGTGCCCAGGGACTCACCGAGTACTTGGGGCTGAAGATACCCGTGATGTGGTTCTTGAGGGTCTCTAGAGCACTGGCCCCACTTCGCTCCTGCTCCTGGGGGAGGTACAAGCTGTGCGCCAGCTGGGGAGGGCCCCATCCCTGCCACTCCCAGGGCATGGGAGGCAGGACTCACCGTGGAGGAGACAGACTGCCGGTCCTCTGGCACAGGCAGGGCGGGCAGGGGCTCCCTGGCCCCCAGCTCTGCCAGCTTCCCTGCCAGCATGTCCCGCTGTGCCTGCAGCTTGGCCTGGGTGCAGAGGCAGCCCTCGAGCTGCTGCTGCGCCTCAAGCAGCCCCTGCCGCCTGCTCAGCAAGTGCACCCTGGGGAGGGGACAGGGTGGTCAGCACCCGCCGCCCTGGCCCCTTGCTCCCCCTCCACTGCACCTCACCGCTTCCCAGGGCTCCAGCCCTGCTCCTCTTCATGGATCTCTGCCTTCAGCTCCCACACCTGCTGTTCCTTGCTGCTTACAGCCTCCGTGGCAGCCGCCAGCTCCTCCTCGACCGACGTCAGGCTGCAAGAGACACATGCCGGTATGCTGAGCCCCTGCTCCTAACCTGTCCCTTGCCTGTGGCCAGCCCCACTCACCAGTGCTGGACACTCTCAAGGGTCAGCTCATTCAGCTGCAGTTCCCCTGGTGCCAGGCTCTCTGTCTCCTCCAGCAGGCTCTCATCAAAGGACACAGTTGGTGGCACCTCGGAGTCATACCTGTGGACACCCAGTATGGCTCTGCCTCCATCTGCTCTGTGCTGGCTGCCAGCAACTGTGGGTGGCAGGGCCGTGCCCGGCAGAGAGGCTGCGGCTGCACAGGGCCGTACTGGTGGCTCTGGATGAAGCCGCTGTACTCAGTGGCAGGGTTGATGGCCTCGATGGCACCGGCAATCTCATGGTGAATGGCAAGAACGTCCTCCTGTACCAGGCTGCTGATGCTGCAGTACTCCCCAAGGATCTCCTTTCTGCAAGAGCACTGCTGGTTCTGGGGGACCATGGGGGTGCCCAGGGGTTGGCAGTGGGGTGAAGGGCTGGCAGGGGGGTGCGAGATGGGGAGTGGGGCATGGGATGGGCAGTGGGGAATAGGACAAGCAGCAGGGGGGACAGGAATCTTACAGGATGAGGACCATCTCCTGCTGCAGGTTGTAGAGGGACTGGTGCAGGCTGGGCAGCACCCGCTGGTAGTAGTGCTGGTGGTGCAGCGCAGCTGCCTGCACGGCCAGCACATATTGGTTGTGCAGGGCATAGAGCTTCCAGAGGCTGCGGACATACTTCTCCTTTGCTTTGTCCCGCTCTTTGTCTGTGGGGAGAGGCCGTGGAAAACACCAACCACCAGCACACCACCAGTCCCAGCATTGCAGCACATCAGTGAGGGGCAAGAACACCTGGCAGGGCTGGGGCAGGGGCCAGGGGGTGTCGAGCTGGGAGAGGGTCCCAGAGCAGGCAGGGCAACCAAGGCTGGGGCAGTTACACTGACACAGGGATGCTCCTGACTCACAGCATGGTTTCCCAAAGCCTCTGGACTTTTGCCTATCTCCTTGGGGGCCAGGCTGGGCTCTCCCCACGCTGCCCACCCCAAGAGTCCCCACCCGCTCCAGGCTGGGCCATGATTCCCACAGGGTGCAGGATGCTCCAGCCATACTTGGCCCACAAGGGGAGCTGGGAGGGGATGCAGTGGGATGGAGCTGAGGGCCAGGCTGGCACCTTTGCTGGCCTCCTGGTACTTGCGTTTGGCCTGGGCGCTGTCACGTGCCAGGCTGCGGTACTGCGCCTTCAGCTTCTCCATCTCCTGCTGTGTCGTCTGGGGAGGGACACGGTCAGGGAGCGGGGCCAGGCCACAGCCTCACTCCCCCGCTGGCCCCCACATACCCGGGTGTACTCCTGGCTGACCACCTGCCACTGCTCACTGAAGGCCTTGCGCAGCTGCTGCTTGTCGCGGATGAGCAGGCTCAGCTTGGCCAGCGGCCCTGCCACCAGCTCCTCTGCGTGCTGCCGCAGGATCTGGCTCAGCGTCTCTGTCCGGCTCGCCAGCACCCACCAGGTCTGTGGGATGCCAGCGCATCAGGAAAAGTGTGGGGACAGCACCCTCCAGCACCACACCAGGCTCTGCAAAGCATACTCCTGCTCCAGGGCATCCCTACCTTCTCCATCTGGCCACCATGGTCACCACGGAGCTGCCCAGTGCCCTCCTGCTTCTCCAGCTGGGAGAACATGTGGTGCAGCATCCCTGCGTACTCCCGGTCGCTCTTGGCACGCTGCGACATCCACTTCTTCATCAGCTCCAGGAGACGCAGCTCCCCGTCCTGCAGCCGCAGCAGTGCGCTGTGCCCCTGCGGGCACCACAGCTCCGGCCCGAAACCCATGGCACCACCGTCTGGGTGGGGGGAGGCTGTGGGGTGCCAGGCCAGGCTGAGTCATGGCTGCTGCCCCGCACTGCCTGCACCAGTGGCCAGGCCCTTTGTATCTCACACCCTCCCTCCTCGTTGCCTAGCCCGAGTGGCAGGGCAGACCCTCCATGCCTCCTACAATCAGCCTTGCAAAGTGCATTCAAAGCAGTGGGGTGAGCGCTCCAAGCCCTGTGGGAGCTGGAGCCTGCAGGGACAGTGCCAGGGAGGAGGAAGTGTGGGGTGAGACACAGCAGTGTCACCTCTGCTGCGTGTGGGGCTGCTCCCGAGGGCAGCACAGCTGTGCCCCCCACCCCAGCTGGGCACCAGTCCCTGTGCCTGTGCTGCCTGTTGGCACTGCCACCCCTGTGCCTGCAGTGTGGAAGCTCCCAGGGACCAGGACACAACCGGGAAGCTGGTGAGAGCAGGACAGGGTGCTGAGCCCCAAAGGAAAGTGCTGAGCCTGGCCATGCCTCAGCAGCCGGGACTCCAGCATGGCCATTGGGAGCCAATTTGGGAAGCTGGGAGCCAAACCAGTCCCAGCAGTGGTCCTAGGGTGCTCTGCCCCTTGGCAAGAGCACAGCAGGAGCAGGAGAATGCTGGGGCACCTCCCTGTGCAGGGCAGGATGTCCCCTGGCACAGCCCTTGACCCTGCCGAGAGCCAGGGCCTAGAACCCCCCCTGCCCTACAAAGGTATCCCCTGTCCCTGCCAGCACCCTGCTGGGGCACAGGCCCTCCAACCTGCGTCTGCTGTGAGGTCCCCGCCGTGGGGCTGCTGCTGGCGTCCTGCTGGAACCGGGGCTGGTGTGGTCTTGACCCCGTGCAGCTCCAGCTCGTGGGGAGGAACAGGAAACCCGGGGCTGACCATACAGCCATTGCGAGATTTCCTGTGCTTCCTCCCCTCCCTGCCAGTCCCTGCACCCACGGCCAGCACTGGCTCATGGCTGTGCTGCAGCTGGGCAGCTCCCAGCCCCATCGCCCCTCTCAGCTGCTCCCCACCAGGTCCCGGCACCATCAGGATCCAGCCCTGTGTACTCAGGGCTCTACTACCACCGTGGAGCCTCCACTGAGCTCTGATCTGCGAGGGTCCCACCCAGCAAAGCCCCCTCAGCCATGCCTGGTCCTGTCTGACCCACAGCCTTGTCCATGCCTCTGCATCTCCAAGAGGCTGCAGGACGTAGGGGTTCCCCAGGGCTCTGTGCAGTCCCACTGAAGGGTGGCCACCCTGTCACCACCCCCCAGCCTGGCCCACGTGACTGGGGAAGGCCTCAGGACAGAGCACCACCAGTGCCACTGCCAAGTGCCACCACATATCTCCATTGCTGGCACAACCCAGGTCAGCTCCACTCTGCTCAGCCTGGACACTGCCTGGGTGTTTTGGGCTGAGCCCCTCCCTGTGCCCAGCAGGGAGGCCCCAGCTCCAGAAGGGTGTCACGGTCACTTGCAGGACACTGTAAGACCAATTCCACTCTTAGAGGAAGTCAGGGAAAAAGTGTGTCAGGCAGGAGCTTTGCTGACTTGCCTTCCCGGCTGAGCAATGTGGGATGGTCACGCCACGGAGCAGGTCCATGGCAGCCAGGGGCTGCCACGGTGATGCTTCTCCCATCCCCAGCATCCTCCCGGGGGTGCACGGGTTCCCTCCCTGCCTGTGCCACGCTTCCCTGGAAGCCCCGAATGCTGCCCGCCCCCAGCCCGGCCTCGCGCGAAGAGGAAGAGCAGGGTGAGCTGCAGAAGAGGAAGAGCAGGGTGAGCGCGCTGCCGTCCCTGCACGCCGCGGGGAACTCGCTCCCGACCACAGGAAGCCGCTGTGGGCACAGCAAGGCCGAGAGGCTCCACAGAGAGGAGCTGCCTCTGCGAGCAAGCGCTGCCCCGACAGGCCCTCCTGTGGGGGACGGAACCCTGCAGGGAGCTTGGGGAGGCTGAGCTGGGCTGTGTCTGCAGCTTGGCCACGGCACGAGCGGGTCCCACGTCCAGCCTGCCCATCCCTACACCAGGGGCACCGTGCTCCAGCTGCAGGCTGCCGCAAGACACGGGGGCTGCAGCTGATCCCCAGGCTGCAGGGGAGTCTCAGCCTGCACGCTGTGGGAAGAGGTGGAGAAGGCACCCAGACTTTTGAGCCCCCACCCCTCCTCCACCCACCACAGCCAGTTCCCGAATTAGCTGCCTGAGCTGCAGGTCCTCATAAAAAGCTGCTTCCCCTTGCTCAGGTGAGGGACGGTCCCTGCCTGTCCCTACCGCATCCGCTGCCACATATCAGCTCCTGCCCACAGCCAGGGAACGGCAGTCCCTGGCTCAGGGGGGGGGCTCTGCAGGCAGGGCCCAAGGCTCCTCTCCTGCAGCTGCAGCGCAGATCCAGGTGCCCCTGGGGCCTGTGGCCCCCGTGGCCAGGCTGCCACCCTGGTCAGGGCACCCGCAGCACACAGAGAACAGGCAGCGGAGCTGGTTTGCATAGTTCTGAACATTTAATAACTCAGTCTCTCTAGCGTTATATCCACATCCATTAAATTAAAAACAGGCTCAGGAGGCAGCTCCTGGCTGATTAAATTACAAGAAAAAATTACTGTGCACCAAAAAGTTGTTATAGAAAAATAGTCCTGTGGCCCCCAGCCAGCGGCTCCATCCGTGGCTGGCGTGGGTGGGAGCCCGTGCCACGGCCCCAGTGTGTGGCGGCGGACGGCAAAGGGGCTCGCGGCACCAGCCCCCAGCCCGCGGGGAAGGGGCGGCGAGGGAAGGGGCTCCGGGGGGGAGCAGAACGGATTGTCACCAAATGGGGGCAAGGCACATCAGGGGGCTGGGGCTGCAGGGACGCCAGGCACTGCCTGGCACAGGTGGGGTGCAGGCAGAGCTGGGGCAGTGCTGGCACCAGCGCTGCCTGAGGGCAGAACATGAGGGGCTGGGGCAGCCCCCCAGAGCAGGGTCTGTGCGAGGGGTCCCTGCCCAGGCTGTGGGCTGCACCGCAGGCACGAGGGAAGGCGGTGCCTGGCCCCACACTCCCTGGTGCCAGGGCTCTTGCCCACTGCAGGCAGCCATGGTGGGATGGGCAGAGAGTGGGCAAGCAGGCAGCAGCAGCCGAGGCCTGGCCATTATTGCTGTTGGAAGGGCACCGGTGGAGGCGGACAGGTCCAGCCAGGTGGCAGGGAGCCAGGACACAATGGACCAAGCCAGGGCCGCAGCCTGTCATGCCAAGGGTGGCAGGGACAGGGGGACACCGTGCCATGGGCTGTGCTCAGCCCTGGGGGGCAGAGCCACCCCTGCCCCAGCCAGCCCACCCTGAGCCATGGCAATCGAGAGACCCCACATGCTGCCCACCCTGAAGGACTCAAGGGACCCTAAGCAGCAGCTGCCCGCCCAGGGCAGGAGACACAGCTGCCAGCACAGGGGCAGGGGCCCCACAGCCACCAAACACCCCAGCATGTGGCACAGAATCGATGCGGGGCCGGGAGAGATGGTGCAAGACTGGGACAGTGCCGTGCTGGAGATGGTGCCAGCAGGGCCGTGCCAGGCCACCCAGGCTGGGGCAGAGGGACAGTGCCAGTGGGTGGGAGCCCCAGGCTGCTGGAGTGCAGGAAGGGGACAGGGGCAGAGTCTGGGCCCCTCGGCCTCACCTGCCCCGGCCCCGTGGTGCTGGGCAGGGAGGAGGGAGGGGCAGGAGGGCTCATCAAAGGGCACTTTGGTCTCTGATGAAGGCAGTCCTCTCACTGTGGGCCTCATAATCCTCACCGTCCGATTCGGAGGGGCCCTCCTCCTGCCAGATGTCAGAGGGGAGCCCCTTGTAGGAGATGATCCCACTGTCCAGGGCATAGACCTTCACGCCCCGCAGGCTGAAGCCTGACCGTGCCTGCAGCACCAAGAAGATGGTGACAAAGATGACAACAATGAGGACGCAGCTGAGGCTGGCGATGAGGACAGGGAGGTTGACCGGAGAGGGGGCCTCAGCTGGCCCCTCACCATCTGCCAGGGCAGGGGATGCACGGCTGCTCTGTGTCTGGTGGGAGCAGGAGAGGTCCAGGCTGCTGAAGTGGGAGTGCGCAGGGCAGGTGAGGCACTGGTTGGGGCCGGGTCCCACACAGGTGGCGCAGGAGGGGTGGCAGGGCAGGCAGAGGTGGGGCGCGATGGGCTCCACGCTGTTCTCCAAATTGTAGTGCGTGCTCTGGACACCGGGCGCAAAGCCAGGAGGGCAGTGCTTCAGGCAGCTCTTCTGGTGCAGGTAGTACCCCTCCTCACAGACTGCGGGACAGGCAGGGTCAGCGCGGGCTGGCAGTCACCTCGGCCCCCCATCCCCTCCCCACCAGCTCCACACTCACCCACACAGGTCTGGCTGGGGGTGAGGGTCTTGCAGCCACTGCTCTCCAGCTGGTTGGAGAGGCTGGGGGAGTCGGTGGCCGTCCCATACAGCACAAGTGTGAACTTGGTCAGCGTGCCTGCAACGATGCGGGGTGAGGACCACCGAGGTGCCTGCGAGACCACCCATGCTTGGGACAGATGGGGGGGGGCCTCGTAGTGTTCCCCTCCACAGCTGCCAGGGGACAGCAGGGCTGTGTGCACTACCTGGGAAAGTTCCTGATATGGGGCCATGCCTCTGCACAGGGCTGCCCATGGGGCAAGGAGGTCAGGCCAGCTGGCATGGGGTCACCTGCTGCCCAGACCCCACTGCCCCAGAGAGGCTGCATCCCATCTCACATGCCCAAATCCAGCCCCTCCCCAGTCAGGTCACCCAAAACATCAGAGGTGTTATCGGCCACTCAGCTTGGGAGCGAGGGGGCGAAGCTGGGTAACAACACAGTTCCCATCTCAGACTTAGAGGGAGGCAGTGGAGGGGAAGGCTGAGCCCTACCATAGTTGTTGGCGTCACTGGTGTTCTCAATCTCCAGCACCCACTCTCCAGAGGGGTCCTCATCCCACGAGTGTGTTGTCATGAAGGCCCAGTCATTGAAGCCATCGGCCGAGAAGTCGTGGGGCCTGGGTGACGGGGGCAAGAGGTGGGTGCCAACATATCCTAAACTCACCTGTGCCAGCCCGGGTCGGGGGCCAGCCTGGAGCACCCCACAGCCTGGCACCTACCTGGCAGCCAGGAGGGTGGAGCGGGTGCCCATGGGGCTGACCAGGTGGATGGCCAGGTCCCCACGCCGGTTGTAGGACAGTGTCAGCCTGGCCTGCGCGTGCTCCAGACGGCTGATGTAGTTGGCTTTCCCCAGGCAGGCGTCCACCTTCCGCCGTACCTCCAGGCGCTTCCCAATGTCCCTGCCGAGGTGGGGCATGAATGAGGCCAGTCCCAGACCAGGGGGACATGACAGAGTGCCCCAGTCTCTACTCTCCACTGTGGGGCTCTGTGGCTGTCCCAGGGATTAAGCACTGTGTGCCAGGGCAGCTGGACAGGAATCAACCCTGCAGTGGATGGGAGTGGCAGCATCTCCGTGCCATTTCCCGACGGGTGCCGATAGTGCCCCAGCTCCAGGGTATGAGGAGGTCTGTGCTGCCCAGAGCTGCCTCCCCAGCCACCACCCTGTGCCAGCCCTGAATGGGTCCTTTATTCACACATCACAGGCCAGCTACACCCTGCACAGCATGGCCAGGGACGGGACGGGCACAGCCTTCCCCATCCTGCTGCTGGCATACAGCTGTTCTCCCTACCAGCACCGGCTCTGGTGCCAGTGCAGGATGTGCCCACTGCGTCCCCCCTTGGCTTCATCCCCAGGGGGTTAGGGCAGGGACCAGCCCTGGCTCCCTCCATGCCCAGGCGCCCCCAGGGAGCGCCCCAGATGGGCACAAGATTGCACATGTTTGCTGTGGCAGCAGCAGCCAAGCA